TGTTGGCTTCAACGATATCTCACAAAGCAATACTGAAAAATGTCCATATTGTGACCTATATATTATATTACATTTTCATTTAGCTGACACTTTTATCCAAAGCGACTTACAATAAGTGCATTCGACCAAGAAGATACAAACTTGAAGAAAACAGAATCATATAAGTACATCAGGTTTCATAGAGCCCAACCATATACCATATATATATATATATATATATATATATATATATATATATATATATATCCTGTTGTTAGTCACTTCCTGTGACTCATGATGGTTTTTCCTGCACTTCCTGTCCAGTTTGTGGGCTAAGAGTACAGTATCAGAGACTGAAACCTCAAAATGACAATAACCATAACACACTTTTTCTAACCCAGTAATTGATTTAATAACTTAATCAGCAGATATTTTTGTAAGCTTTAAGATGGAGACTTTTCAAGCCATAGATTTCCACGTGTCAAACTGTGCTCTGTTAACCCTTATTCATCTCTATTTTAAATGTCATTTTGAGGTATATATCACATGATTTGGCACTTTTTTCGAGTATACCTGATAATTTATTTACAATTTCCAAGGACCCAACAATTCCACACGTGTTCTCTTATCCCTCTCAATGGTAGCCAACATATGTTAACTTAATACCCCCTAATCACAAATGTGTTCCTCTCTTGATGCTGCATTGATGATGAATTAAAAAGTGAAACCGTAGAAGAAATATTATAAAAATGTAACAATTTCCCTTTCATCTTTACCACCAAATTGTACTACTTTTTGTTTGTGCTGGAATAAAGTTAATTTACAAGACATTTTCAAAAGGCTATTTAATGAATGTCAATGTAATGTAAAAAAAAGGGGTCTCCACAAATGTCTATTACAATGAATCCTCCGTGAAGCAAATGATTTAACCAGAATACTGAGCACCCTGTCTACAGCTTTACATACAAACACCAACAAGCAACATGTTTGTTTATTTATATTCATACTCAAATGCCTGAAAGAAAAGGTAGACTTTAGCATACTAGATCAACTGTCTGTTAAGGATTGTTCTGGAAACATTACGCCTTGTTATACATGGATGACAGTAGAACGACTAAGGAAGGGATTGTTTTCTTCTTTGTAATTTAAATGAAACACTCAGAAATACCAATATATCTACCTTTTTCTAATATATCGTAATACTTTGCAGCACAGGTGAAATGGTACGGTTACATTTGACTACTGTGAATGGCTCTAAAAAAATGACTTCCTGTTCAGGCTGTTGGAAAAAAACTAAAGTGTGAAAGTCACATCGAGAGGGGAGTTAACGCTACCTCTCAGCCTTTCTTAGAAACATGATTTGATATTGAGTTTGAAGTGCATTTTAAAGATTGTATGAAAACCAAAAGTGCACACGGCATTCATTTGAGTCAAGTAAATATGGCTGTATTGCTTTGCGTGAAGCCAACAGCGTCCTCTGTTACTGCCATCAGAGGGAACCATTTTATTATCTGAGGACGGTTTGAGTGTTTTAAAACAGTTAATGCCAAACTTCTGGACCAAGTTGTTTCATACCTAAGGCCATAGTATAGATTACAAATATTCATCTAATCCCCCTACGTGCAAAGCGGCAAACTCTTATCAGATCAGAGTCGAAGGGACAACATTTATGTCAGTAGTTCAAACAAAATGTCCTTTTACACGTTTCAAAACCCCCTAACAATGCACAAGACACACGACTCTTACCTTGATGTGCACGTGACTTAAGAGAAGCTTTTGAAACCTCACACTCTAACGGATGCAGCTTCCTGTCCTGTGGTTTGTCGTTTGCATCCCACTAGTAGTACGTTGAAATATAATCACATCTGCAGGTTTTATTGTTGACCGTTTTTACTGAGCAACACAGCTTCAATCTCAGTATTTATGACAGTTAAAAATACATGTGCTTAATTAAATGATGTGTGCAAAGAATAGAAAGGAATCTCACTTGATCTTGATTAACAATGAAAGTGAATTAAGTTGTTTGGAATAAAGTAAGGTCTTCATGCTTTTGGGATTATCAACATTTGTAAAAATCTGACTTTTGTGAGTGAAATAAATCAGATAGTTTAGGCTAATTCTTGTTGCTCTTTGCTTTGTGTTCACTAGACAGTAGTGGAAAGGAAACTGAATTAGGGCAGACGGCTCGGAGCTACACACACACTGCAGTCTTGATACTCATTTGAGCTTTTCATAGTTGCACTAGCTTTTTACATCTGTACACAAGTCAGCAGGTATTTAAAGATATTGGTTTAGTTAATTTTTTAGCAGAGGTTTTCGCCATTCTGACAGAGACTGGGGTCCTCTCTTTTAGCATTTACTTAAAACATGTTGCAGGGCTGTCTCCCCCAAAACAGACAGTCCCTTGCCAGGAAAAGTGTATTTTCAAATTACACATGATTGTAATTATTATTTTGACTGTAGTCACAGAACTAAATCACTTCTGCAATTTTGTACCGATGTTCTGTAAATGATGTCTGTATTGAAATACATGTTTAAATGGATGCGATATCCGGACACATCAATGTCTGTGTTCGGTGTGTTCAGCAAATGAGCTTCCTGACAGCAAAGTACTTCATTCAACATCATAAAGCTAAAATCCAACATTCGAAAATCAATACATACAAAACAAATGTTTATTGTTACGCAATATACACGTCATCATGTCGCACGCCTCGAAAAGGAAAACTATTTATTTGGCTTTGGAAAGAACACATGTTATTCTTCAACTTTGTTTAATTTATTCAATTTACTTAAAATAGAAGAGTGAAAAGGTTTGTCTCGAGATGCTTTTAGAAGATATGGTCTGGTCCACGGTTCAACCTGCAGAACAAGACAAGAGGACAGAATAAAAGGCATCAGTTTGCATTCAAAGTATCAACAATAACATGTATTTTCTTTCACTATATCCAGTAGAGAAGTATGATACAGTTTCTGCAGGACAAATATAGAAAGTAAGTAGGGTTCATCCTCAGGGGAACATGAACACCTGGGCCATATTTCAATGCAATCCATTCAATATTTGATATTTCAATCTGCCCAAATTGGTGCACAGACCAAAGTCTTTAAATGGCCACACTGGTTTTATAGCAGTGTATTTTACTACTGCAATCTTTTAAATACAAAGCTTTTTTAGAGCCTACAAAACTGTATCCATGAGCCGAGGTACTCAATTACAATGCCAAAACAAACTGTACCTGAAGTACAAAGTAAAGAGGTCATTTCCAGCACAATGCCACAACGAACTCTACCTAAAATAGAACGGGAATCCGTTTTGGTTTCAAGACCCTGGTTCACGGAGGATATCAACAAAGTCCTAGAATGGTAAACAAACTAATGTGCATTTCAAAAAGAGGAATAGTTTCAGTGAAAACTAAAAGGTACCATGGGGTCAGATTAGAATTTTCCAAAGAGGGGTTTGTTTAGCTTGAAACACTTGACATAACTAAAGGATAAGTTAAAGAGAAAGTAGAAAGAAAGTGAGGTCAAAGAAAACTGTTTCTGCTAAAAAGTTAGCAATGATTGAGAGTCAGAGCTCAACATTTCAGATGTGTGTATCTCACACTGCACTGTACCTTTAATTCATGTATCTTTGCTTTTAAATGAGTGTTTTTAAATGTAATTTCATAATATGCTTCTTAATGCTCTTAATGTCTTTCATTTTTGTAAAGCACTTTGAATTGCCTCGTGTTGAAAGGTGCTGTATACATGAACTTGCCTTGCCTTGCCTAAAGTACAAAGTAAAGAGGCAGTTTCTACCTGTGACATTGATCCAGATGAACAGTCCCATTGCCGTCTGTCCCCCCTCACATTCAGCCTGGCACTGAAACTGACCGGCGTCCTCTGGAGACACGTTGAGGATCACTGTCACCACCTGTCTGCGTCTCATGGGGTCCTCAGAGAGCGTCTCGTTCACCGTGGTGAAGAACCTTCTGGGGTCCGTCAGCTCCTCATTTTGATCCATGACATGAACCCAGACAACATGCAGCAGACTGCATTGCTCAAAGTCATAGACGGCATCGCAGGAGAGCTGGACGGAGGATCCTCTGGCTGTGGTAATGGTGCCCCCTTTATATCGGACCTCTAAGGTATCTACAGCAGGAAACAAAACAAAAAACTGTTATTGCAACTTCTATAGTCTTAAAATGATTCACTTTAAATAGCTTCAAGGGGCTAACCAATCAGAGCAGACTGGGCTCTGCTTTAAGACAGAGGGTGAAAAGAGGGGCTGCAGCAAAATAAAGGGCTTTTTGAACATTAAAGCATGGAGACATGTCACAGTAGAGACACTACATACTGATATACACCTGAACATCAGCTGGAGAGGACTCTTTAAAGTAGAGACACTACATACTGATATACACCTGCACATCAGCAGGAGAGGACTCTTTAAAGTAGAGACACTACATACTGATATACACCTGCACATCAGCAGGAGAGGACTCTTTAAAGTAGAGACACTACATACTGATATACACCTGAACATCAGCAGGAGAGGACTCTTTAAAGTAGAGACACTACATACTGATATACACCTGCACATCAGCAGGAGAGGACTCTTTAAAGTAGAGACACTACATACTGATATACACCTGAACATCAGCAGGAGAGGACTCTTTAAAGTAGAGACACTACATACTGATATACACCTGCACATCAGCAGGAGAGGACTCTTTAAAGTAGAGACACTACATACTGATATACACCTGAACATCA